CCTTCCTTCCTTCCTTCTTCCCATCCTTCCTTCATTTGGTGGTCTGGGGAAAGTGAGGAGATGCCATCAACTTTTGTCCTAAGGGAAGAATAGAAATTTGTCAGGTGGTGAGGAAGGTCCAGTACCCAGTGGCTGGACCTTGGAGAGCACTCAGGGTGGGACAGGGGGAGCCAGGGGAAGTTTTAGGGAGAACCCCCTGCCCTGTCTCACCTAAAAGCCCGAGGGAGCAGGGACTTCCTCCCTGATGATTTTGGGGAAGGCATGCAGCTGTCAGAATCACTTTCATCATTTGTGTCCAAGCACCCTGAAGCCACTATGAGGATTCTGGCAAGTTGGGGCCACAGCAGACACATGTATGGCTGGGGTCAGGCAGGACAAGGAGAGGACAGTGGGGATTTCTAGGGGTGTTGAGGGATCTGGGCCCCAGGTTTACATATGGGGTCTCTGATAGCATCTCTGTCTCAGGGGGACTCGGGGGGGCCCCTGGCCTGTGAAAAGAACGGTGTGGCCTACCTGTATGGCATCATCAGCTGGGGTGATGGCTGCGGGCAGTTCAACAAGCCGGGTGTCTACACCCGCGTGGCCAACTACGTGGACTGGATCAACGACCGCACACGGCCCTCCAAGAAGTCGGCAGCTACCTCCTGAGACCCCGGGGTGGGGAGAGGGGGTCCCACCTCCCCACATCTCCCCACTGTACTGACATTAAAGACACCCCAGCAGCTGCCTGCCTTCACTGCCTTCATGAGGCCCCACTGCCCTGCCCCTCGGGCCACGCTGGGCCGAGGGCTGAGGACCCCAGGCCAGCACTTCAGCTGACCAGGCTCAAGGGAGATGAAGGGTCATGACACAGGGAGTTAGGGTCGCCGGCTCTACCCTCACCACTCCAGGGGAGCTGTCCTCATGGCCAGAGTCCTGGACAGGCCGCAGAGGCCCTAGTCCAGGCCCGAAGCTAGGGGTCTGAGCCAAGCTCACTGACTACTTTCACGGGGATCCCAACTCCAGTGACCTAAGGACAGGGAGGGACTGCCCCATAGGTTCCCAAGTGGACATCTCTGTGAATGCCGGAGGGGTCGCAGAAGGAGCGCTTAGCCACTGCGCCACCAGGACTCCATGTCTTTAACTAAACCCACTGCTGCCAAGAGGACTCGGACTCCTGCAGACCCTGCCCGACAGCTGCCCCGGACAGTCCCCGGGCTGGACTCGCCAAGGGAGCAGGCGCCGCAGTGTTCTCCCAACTGGGGATTTGAACCACTGATGTTTTCGTTACTCCACCGCCCCTCCAGGGCTCCTACTGAGCCAAATAGTGCAAAAAAGGTGGGCCAGTGCCCACACAACCAGCTGTTGTTTTGCTGCGGGATGTCAGTCTGCCCACAGTTCCCCCTCCCACAAGTTGCCACGATGGTCACTGCCCACCTCTGGCTCCTTGACCAACCTGCACTCAGCTGGCCATGACAGCATGGGGTGCCAGGCAGCAGCCTTGGCAATGGGAGGGCAGTCTGGGTGCCCCAGGAAGAAGATGGGGCTGGAAGTCAAAGGGGCAGACTGCACCAACCTGGGTGGGGGCTGTGGTGAGGAGCTGGGGACCCCAGGACTCAACGGCCTTGGGGAGTAGATGTGGTGACATTTACTTCAGGAAGGATGGCCTTTGGGGAGGGGCAGCCAGGGAGTGAAACAGGCTGGGCTCTCTTGGACTGGGTTCTCCCAAGAAGCAAATTTGACATATATTTTTTCATTCCTCTGAGAGGGACATGATGCTCAGAAAAGGCAGAGGGTCAGCAAAGGAGAGGAAGACCCTCGGCCAGGTGGACTGACACGGTGACTGCTGCAATGGGCTTTCATGTGTTGGAGATGTGAGGAGAGCGCAGGATAGAACGGATTCAGAGTTGTTCATAGAGTCGCTATGGGTTGTACGCGACTAGACAGCACCTGACAACAACAGTGTGTGTGTGTGTGTGTGTGTGTGTGTGTGTGTGTGTGTGTGTGTCAGTCTGTCAATGAGGATCTTCTGGGACCTCCAGTGGCCAAAGCTGTGCTGTCAACCTAAAGGCACACAGTTCGAATCTATCAGCTGCTCTGAGGGTAAAAGATGGGCAATCGACTCCCATGAGATTTCCTGCCCCTGAAAACCCTGGATGGTCAGCTGTGGGTCAGTTCTTACTCAACGGTAAACATGTCTACCTATCTATGATAAAGTACATTTCTGTATATACAGTTCCTCAGTCTCTTCTCCATCTCTCATGATTGCCTAGAGGTCCATGAGGGTTTCTGTTTTCTTGATGTTTCTTGATGTTGAAGGCTGCTGTCTTTGATCTTCTGCAGTAAGTGCTTCAAGCCTTCTTCACTTTCTGCGAGCTAAGTTGTCATCTGTTGTTGAATCTTCCTCCAGTCCTGATGCCACTTTGTTTTTCATGTAGTTGCACTTCTTGAATGATGTTGGGAATGGACACACCCTGATCATACCCTTCCTGACTTTGAACCTGCAGTAGTCCCCCTTGTTCTGTTTTCTTGGGCTGTGTACTGGTTTCTCATGAGCACAATTAAATGTCCTGATATTCCTGTTTTCCTCAATGTTAGCCATAATTATGACCCATACAGTCAAATGCTTTTGCATCGTCAATAAACACAAACGTCGTCCTAGTATTTCTGCCTTCAGCCAAGATCCATCTGACATCAGCGATGCTGTCCCTTCTTCCACAGCCTCTTCTGAGCTCAGTTCTTATTTCTGGCACTTTGCTGTCTATTTACTGGTTAAGTCCCGTGTGAATAATTTTCAGCAAGATTTCACTCGTGTGTGATACTACTTATAAGTTGTTTAATAAGTTCTGCATTCTGTTAGATCACCTTTTTGTGAGGAATAGGAAAAAAATGGACCTCTTCAGTCAGTTGTCCAGATAGCTGTCCCTGACTTTCCCCCACTGTTAATGCTGAGCTTTGCCAATGTCTCTTCATGGAGAAGTAATCAATCTGATTCCCACGTAATTCATCAAGTGAAGTCTATGGGTATATTTAGTATTTGTATTTTTTTAAAAATGCATTTACAGTGAAGTACTTGCTGCAGAAGGTCAAGGACTGCAGCTTTCAATATAGATCGAAGCTCAGTATCAAGAAAACAAAGATTCTCACCACTGGTGAGAATTGAGATTGACATTTGTGAAGAGATTGAGATTTTTAACAGCTTCAGCTTGCTTGGCTCTACAATCAACACTCTTGGTACCAGCAGCCAGGAAATTAGAAGACCATCTGCAGTGGGAAAATCTGCTGTCAGGGACCTCTCCTGAGTATTGAAGAGCAATGGTATCAGTCTAGAGACTAAGGTGTGTCTAATCCAGGCCATGGTCTATACAATTACTTGTTATGCATCAGAATCTGGACAATGACTAACGATCACAGAAGAAGAACCAATGCCTTTGAGCTGTGGTGCTGGAGAAGAATATTGAATATACCATGGACTGCTGGAGAGAGTGAAACCAGGGTTCTCCCTGGAGGCAAGGATTTTGAAACTTCTTCTGACATACTTTGGGCATGTTACCGGGAAGGACCAGTCCTTGGAGAAGGGTGGAGGGTCAGCACAGGAGAGGAAGACCCTGGATGAGATGGATTGACTCAGTGACTGGGGTAATGGGGGTAGGTGTGTCAGAGACAATGTAATTGGCTCAGGATAGAGCGGGGTTCAGAGCTGTTGTATGTAGGGTCGCTGAGAGTCAGAGTTGACTCAGTGGCACATAACAACAGTAGAATACAGTCAGGACCGATTCTGCAACGTGCTCACTGGAGCCTCAGCCTCGTGGTTTTGGGCCAGTGTTACAAAGTTCTCCGGCCCAGCAATGATGGTGCTCTCCTCCCTCACAGCTGTCCTGTTCTAGCTGCGTGGGGCAGTAGTCCCAGGGTCAGCCCCATCTCATGCCAGATCCCTGGCTCTCTGCTGCCGCCCTGCCTGCTGCCCCGTGGTTCCTGCTGCCCCGTGGTTCCTGCTGCCCCGTGGTTCCTGTTGCCCCGTGGTTCCTGCTGCCCCGTGGTTCCTGCTGCCCCGTGGTTCCTGTTGCCCCATGGTTCCTGCTGCCCCGTGGTTCCTGCTGCCCCATGGTTCCTGCTGCCCTGTGCTTCCTGCTGCCCCATGGTTCCTGCTGTCCCGTGGTTCCTGCCTGCTGCCCCATGGTTCCTGCTGGCCCGTGGGCCCCGTCTGCTTGGCACAGGAATCTCTGGTGCTGAGGAAGACAGTGTATTCTCTTGCTGTTTTTCTGGTGGTGAGGTTTCTCCAACTCTGCTGTTGGATCTGCTCAATTTAATGGTGAGATTAGCCTATCCCCTCATGGACGGACGAGACTAGCCAATCACCTTGCAGACAGGCTAATTTGCCCTCTTCCCACCCATCCATGTGGCGAAGTCAGAACATGGTTAGAGATGAACAGTCAGCCCTTAACACCACACAGTTCTTCATCTCTTCTGCTCGTGCCTGGCGCATTTACCTGAACAGGTTCCACATTCACAGGTTTTCTTGCACATGCATGGAGAGTGCCCCGTGTCACTCACAGCGCCGTGCGTCAGGTAGGTCCTGAAAGGCTCCCTGGACTGTGGATGCCACGCCATTCCGCTCCGATTGGTCGTGTCCAGCATAATAGACGCGTGACTGCCCGAGCTCAGATCACTAACGTGCCCATCCTCACGTCTTCCCTTTCATTTCCTCCATTCACAATCTTACCCTCCCATGTTCCATTTATTAGTGGACACTGGCAGCTGTTTCCCCTCATTCTGAGTCTTGCCGCGTCTGCAGGCGACGGCCTGGGCGGGGTGAAAGTTTCGCTCCGTCCGCGTCACTCTATATTGAGGAGGTGGCTCCTCTCTGGCCCATCTGGGGCCCCTTGTAACCTGCAGGTTCGAGTTCCAGCACGACTTCCCGCAATGCCTCTGTGCTATTCACGGCCCTCTCAGTGGACGGCCAGGCCTGCTTCTTCGTCCTCGTCTGAGAGGCCTGCTGAAGTCCTGCCACAGTGGAACTTAACGACAGTCCGCCAAACTCCATCACCACTGGCTCCTGCTCCTATGGTACTTCCTGAAATTTTTCAGTGTCTGTTCTTTATGATACAGTGACTCTGTGTATCCCCTCCAACTTCCTTTGATGCTTTCTGGGTCGTTCAACACACTGCCCATAGCATCTTTCAACCTTGTGTTCTTCAGTTCTTTCAGCTTGAGAAATGCAGAGCGAGTTCTTCCCTTTTTAGTCTCCAGTTCCAGCTCTCTGCTCGTTCCATTATAATACTTTGTTTTGGCTTCTCAACAGCCCAGTGCAATCTTTAGAGTCTCTTCTGACATCCATTTTGGTTTTTTCTTTCTCCTTTGTCTCTGTAATGGCCTTTTGCTTTCTTCATGGATAATATTCTTGATTTCATTCCGCAACTAATCTGGTCTTCAATCACTGGTGTTCAATGCCTCAAATCTATTCTTAAGATGATCTTAAAATTTAACTGGAATTGATTAAAGACTATATCTTGGTTCCTGTGGACTTATTTTGATTTTCTTTGGCCTCAATTTGAGCTTGCAGATGAGTAATTGATGATCTGACCCACAGCCTAGTTTTGACAGCTGACATTGAGCTTCTCCAACGGTTCCTTCCACAAATGTAGTCAGGCTGATTCCTAGGCAGCCCA